TTTTTTTTTTTTTTTTACAAAAATATCATAATAAATATCCACGAAATTTTCATTGTAATCTGACTTTTATCTCATCCAATCTTTTGCTCAATTTTTGTAAATTCTATTTACCATTTGTCATTAAATATTTAATTGATTTTTGTTTATAAATTATTCTTTTCTAACCTAATTGTAATTAAATATAATCCAATATCGATCTTAATTGTCTAAAAGATAAAATTAATAAACTTTCAAGCATTGCAAAATTTAAATAATTCAATTTCAATTAGCAATCTTATTTATTTATAAATAATATAATTTATTATTTCATGAATGAAACAGCTTTCTTTGCAATAATTTTTAATTAAAAAAAATATATATACATATATATATAATCAATTTACGAATCTACGTTGGGCATCTGTTTTTTATCACTATAAAGATTTGTTTATACTGTAAACAATATATCTTGTTTGTGCAATCATCAATTTGTTTCATTAAACATTTGATTGCACGTGAAATTAATTAATAAATTACATGGAACGAATATGGTGGTGTCAAAATAAACTGTAAAATTTATACAGTTTTTAAACGTTTATAATTTTTGAACAATTTTCGGTTATTAAACTTAAAATTTAACGATAAAGTTCAATCTTTTCTTGTTCTAAACTTTTATTTCAATCTTATTAAGATTGGAAGATCAAATGAAACAACGAACACGACTTCTGGAACAATTCGATCGCAATGTGAAAGAACGTGATGCATTGTTGCTTAAAAAAAAGGAGGCATTATCTACTCTATCCAATTTTGAATACACTCGTGTAGCTGATGTCGAAGAGTATGTAATATATTTAATAATCATAATAATTTTGTTCTAATTCATTCTAACATACAATTTTCTTTTAGATATAATGCGGATAAAAATATCTTGTTGGAACAGATTGCTATGCAAAAGAAACGTGAACTTGAGAAAAAAAATGTGAAAAAAGAACACGGCGAATTGTTAATGGATATAAGGGCGGCGTTACAAAATATGGTGGCAATGTTGGTTTGCGTAAAACGAGGTAACAAAGTACCTACGAAGAAACCAACGGAAGAACTAGACAAAAAAATTGACATTCCCATGATGGAAAAAATGGAGACAGATAGTAAGATAAAAAGGGGGAGGGGATTAGAATTTAGGGATATAAATTTTTTGATATATTTGCACATTTCTCTTGTTATTTTTTTCGTTTAGGTTTAGCATTGTTGTCTAATGTTAGTCGAAAAGTAGGACAACTATTTGGAATGAGCAATTTCGAATTTGACAAAGATAGAGAAGAGAGGGCAAGGGATCTATATCAAACTTACGTTTCTAATTATCGCTCGAATATTAAGTTCAAAGAAGAGGAGGTAGAACCACCGGGTAAGCATTTTTGGATAAATTAATATTAATTATTAAGAAGCGTGAATGATGGGTGAATATACTATAAGGAATGTTTAAACTATAATATTTAATATACAGTAGCAATACAATAGCAATATAGTAACAATATTTTTATTATGTTTTTTTAGGTCTCATTGTTGAACATCAAGCGATCGATACTTTAGTACCAACACGAGCAGAGATTAAATTAAGAAGCAAACAAGCTGTAGAAGCTTATTTAAGATTAGAATGATTCTCCTCTTTCTCTTTTAATTTATCATGATGAAAGTATATAAGAATGAGTTTAATTACAACATCTATGTTTAAATAAAGTGTGTATGAAATCAATGCTTCCTCTATATTTTTTTCATTCATGATATTCTCTGTTTATTTATTTACAAAAACATATTTTACAATTTACTTAAGCTATAAAATTTCTTATTTATAAAATATTTGATTTCAGATATCATTAATTCGGCCCCGTTGTAATCGTTCCTTTCGAATTTGTATTTTCAACCAGGAAGGTAAGTACTTATCGAACTTAATAGCGTTGGGATACTTGAGAGGTGGTTCAGGTTCTTTGAAAGGATGAGTGTTACGTAATCTTCTTAATAAATATTCTTTCATTATATCTCTAGGATCTCTATATCTATTCAAATAAAGATTAAATGGTTCTTTTTTTGGAAACCATGTTTGTGGTTTAACATATAATTTTGGAAAATCATATTGAAATATTGGCTCTTTGGTATCTGTAAGTAAAATTTTTCAAAATATATATATAACGGCGCATTAAATAATAAAATAATATATTAAAAATAGTGAAATCGACTATACGCACTTAGTACTGAATGATAAAACTCTTTTACTGTAGGATCCCAATCGCTTTGAAAGAATGCTAAACCAGCTGGTGTAAGATAATCCTGATATTTACGATAAAATTCTAACGTATTCCAATTACGTTCTTTTAATGTTAAACTGAAAAACATCGATTTAAATAAAAAATAATGATATGATAGAAACAATTATATATATAATCTATTTTTCCTTACCAAGGTTGATCTTTTTTGTATTCTACATAATCTAATCGTTGATTTTGCTTGTAAAGAGTAAATATATAACGATAATAACCTACACCTCTAGCTGGAAATGGTTTCATGTAATCTATTATTTGCTCACCCAATTCTAATTTATTCCCTGGAATGTTTCCTCTAAAATAAAATAGTAACATGTTATATTAGTTCTATAACATTATTTCAAATTAAAATAAATAATAAATAAATAATTGACTCACAAAAACCAATGACAATATTCATTGTTTGAATTTTCTAAATTACCATCTGGTGTGCACATCACTAATGTCCATAAAGTATCATCTTCAACTTTATATTTAACATATGGCATTTCAGATGCTTCTGCAGGTTTTATAACATTTCCTGTATAAACTTTAACTGAAGTATCATCATCTATCTTATAACTGATTTCAAGTGGTACAACAGGTAAAAAGAAAGCATCTCCAAATAAATCTTGAAAAATGCCATAATGAGTTGCAATTTTATGAATATCATATGGACTAGATATTTCTAACCAAAGTTGTTTTACTTCTTCCAAATTCAGAGATACTATAAAATATATAATCATATATAGTCGTATATAATTATATAATATATCTCAAGTATGAATATTATATCATCGGATTCTTAATAATTAAATTAAAATATTATTATTATTATATTATAAAAAATGTATTATTTACTCTTTTCATTTCTTATTTGCATTTCAAAATTTATGTTGGCTCGTTTCTTTTTTCGTTCAGCCATTATAGCCTCCTTTTTTTCCTTAGAAATTTTTGGCACAAAAAATCCTATATTTACTTTGGGTAATTCAGGTTCTTTAAGCACTGCAAAAAAAAAAAAATAATGATAATAATATTTTATGAGAAACAATAATATTTTATGAAATAATTAATATTATTTTTTTACATTTGAGGCGTTGTTGCAAAGTGAGAGCGATTGTCGGTGGTTTTCCTCGCAAATGATGTCCATATCGAACTTGTTCAAAACGAATTTTCACGTGTGAAGATACATTTTTGGTAAAAACTCGTAAAGCTGTACTCGCCATAACTTATATTTTAAATATACACCAATTACAGAAATTTAATCGCTAATTTGCTATATCGAAAAAAATCATATAAAGTTTATATCATTTGTAATTAATTGTACAATTGTACAATTAAATTATATTAATTTAAATATAATTTTTAAATTGTACATTGTTTTATATTTATATTTTGCAAATTTATTTCAAAATTAATATACATAATATACATAATATAATAAAATATTTATGTACTAATTATATATATATATATATATGTATATACTTATATATAATAATATCCAATCTTAAATAGTGCAATCATTGAAATTTTTGAATTATTAATAAAAATTACGTCACACATAAATAATTTTTTTACATATTTCATTTAATTGAAATTTTTTTTTAGAATTTTTTAATAATGTAAAACAATTTGTACTTAAAAACATTTCTGAGAATAATGTTTGAAATGAATATTTATTATTTTTGAATTAAATATGGATTTTTTATATATTTAATTATTATATTAAATATTATATTTTTTTATTTATCAATATTCAGATTATTTATCATTTTTTTTTATAAATTAAATATATATATAATATTTAAAGTATAAATTACAAGCAAATTTTTTTCTGTAGTATTAGAATTTAGTATCATGTAAAAAACAAATTTTTCTTTAAAAAAAAAACTCATTACTATGCACTGATAATTATATAGATTTATATACATATCAGTTATATACATATACAAATGAAAAAGATAAATGCTATTTTGTATTTAAAAAATACAAAATATTTAAAATAGAATGGTATAGCAATATAATAGTATTCATTCATTTCAAAACTAAATATAACAATTTTGAATATTTAAACAATTCTTCTCACTCTTCTCTTTCAATGATGTAAACAATAAAATTAAATGTCATTTGATACAAGATATTAATTAAATACAAAGCTATTGATTCCTACGTAAGGTTAGGATTCAAACGCGTGTTACGTGATATCTGTGATTTTCAACGCAAATTTTCAATACATGAATCCGAAAAGTACGTGCTGCCCTCGTTCGGCATTTATGAGTATTAATATCTGTACATCGAATATTCGAAGAAGATCATTGAAAATTTCTTGTTCGTACCAGTTCGAACATGGCAGACTGCCATTGGCAGAAAGCAGTTTTGAAGTTTAGTATTTATCGTGAATTTAAAAGTTTTAATACCGGTGATTGAACAATATGAATCGCAACGAGTTTTATTCAAAGAATATATATATGGTACAAATAAGAAAATCGAAACGACCGAAATTTCATCAAATTGATCTTTCATACGGGTGAGCGAAACAATGTTCATTTTGATTCAGTCGTGCTTTATGATTCGTGATCTGATCGAAAGTATAAGACTAAGTAAACGGATTAAACCAAAAGAGACATTTCAATCTGAATATGAATACAATAAATATGAAACTATTTACTCGGTTTTCTTGCTATACATATATTATTAGATGAATTTAGTGTCGGTTTAACATAACTTTTTACGTCAATGACGTGACAGTAGTGGTAGCAACGGTTGAAGTCATAATGACGATTTTAACAATAGGATTATCAAAGCTTCATACGATTTTATAATTTTTGTTCAAATAGAGTTATGATAGATGAAATGAATGTTTATGTGATGTTAATTTTACATACATATTATTTCTAAAATTTACTGTGTATTGTATACATTTTTTAATTATATTTTTCTAAAATTGAATTAAGTGTAAAATAATTTATTTCATTTATATATTCAATTATTGTAATATTTTTCGGTGTTATATCACGATGTAATAAAGGAATCATGATAGATTGTGGTAAAACTCTAAAAATTATATTTAAATATATTTATATATATAAATAATTTGCTTTTTTCTTGAAGAATGAAATATTTATATATAATTATATGTTTTAATTATATATTTTGTATAACATCAAAAATAATATAACAAATATTATTTGATAGATTTAATTTGATCAAATAAAAATAGACAAGATGGATGGAACAAGAGCTGCAGAGGTTTTACCTTTGCTTCAAGAACGTTTGGCCATTCTGCCAGGTAGCCGAGATCGTAGAGGTGGACCAGTACTTTTATTTCCTACTACACCAAGACGTGAAAGAGCCAAACCTGAAGATTATCGCCGTCTTTTACAATATTTATTGACTGTGCCCAGTGATGAAGCTAGGGGTTTACGTTTCACTGTGATTGTGGATATGCGTGGTGCTACTTGGGATTCTGTCAAACCAATTCTAAAGGTTATATTAATCATAATCTACTAATTTTTTGTCAAATATATACATTTCTTATTTTATTATAACAAAAATATGATTTGACAACCTGGCTTGCAGTTTAACTTTATACTATATTTTAGCTTGATATATTATTAATACAAATAATTTTTAAATTTTTAGGTATTGCATGAACACTTTCATCGATCAATCCATGTTGCTTTTATCATTAAACCTGAAAATTTTTGGCAAAAACAACGGACATCATTAGCCAAGCAAAAGAAATATAATTTTGAAGTAAGCAAAATAAAAATGAAATAGCATAAAAGATGTGTTTGTAGAGCAAAAAATTATTTTGTTGTTTTGATGTTGTTTCTTTTTTAGATAAATACTATAAGTTTAGAAGCTTTGACAAAAGTAATTGATCCATCACAATTGACAGCAGATTTAGATGGATCATTACAATATGATCATGCTCAATGGATTGATACAAGATTAGCTGTAGAAGACTTTACATGGCAAGCAAGTGATCTTCTCGATAGATTAGATGATTTACAAGAGGATTTAAGTCGAAACGATTTTGCGGACGATGTAGCTGGAGCAAAACACGGAATTGATTTGCATAATGAAATGAAGAAAAAAATTATGAAAGTTCCGGTAGAAGAAATTGAAGTTATCGGTCAGCGATTGTTACAACGCTTCGATAATAGTAAGTTTATCGAATTAATTTTAATTTTAATGTTATAATGATAAATTAGTCATCAAATATAAAATAACTATTTATTGATAAATTGATTAAAAATTATTTGAAGATAATGATAGTAAATATTGTTACAGATATAGCAGCGAGTAGTGGCGAAGGCGGTAGTATAGAAAGTGGAGCAACCGGTGGCACCGATCCTGATGGACGAGCATTAGCCGCGTTAGTAATTCAACATTTAGATTCTGTACATGCTGCACAACAGCATCTTCTACAATTGTGGCATATTAAGAAGATGAAATTGGATCAGTGCTTTCAATTAAGACTTTTCGAACAAGATTGTGAAAAAATGTTTGATTGGATTTGTCACAATAGAGAAGGATTTTTAGCGAATTACGTTGAAATTGGACGTTCTTATCAACTCGCTAAGAATTTGCAGGAAGAGCACAAACATTTCACTATAAGTTCTATGAACGTTTATGTGAATATAAATAAGATTTTAACAATGGCCAGTCGTTTGCTTGAAACTCAACATTATGCTGCCGGACACGTAAGAGCAGTAGCTGGCCGACTAGATCGAGCTTGGAAAGAATTTGCAGCAGGGCTTGATGAGCGTACTGCGGTTCTTAGTTTAAGCGTTGTATTTCATCATAAGGCAGAACAATATGTTGATAGCGTTACAGGATGGAGTCAAGCTTGTGATGCTGGCAATCTACCTAACGAAATACCGATTTTGGAATCTCACATACGGCAACATCAAACTCTTTATGAAGCAATGTGTCAAGCTTACACAGAGGTGATCTTTCTTTGTATATTTTGTAATATATTGTATAATATTTGTTTAATTTTTTTCACATCATGATACAAACGTACATATAATTCATCTTTAGTTCTGTTCGTGGCAAGAAGGAATTCAGTCTCGAAGAAACAAAGAAAATAAAAAATTTTTTTCACGTAACTTCGAAATGTGACATCGTAATTCGCAATATCGTTTACAAAGTGATATTTAGTAAAGGACGATAATGTTTGGCAGGTATATGACGCGTATCAGGCACTTTTGAGTGGACTAGGCTCAATGCTGCAAGTTTGTCACGGCTTCGTTTCGACGCACAGTTCGAGCTCGGATACATTTTGCATCGATTATGTATGAAACGATTAGTCATTTTTTTTTTTTAATAGCTTTTAACCGGTGGTCATTTGCTTGGTATGCGGGTCTGATGAAAAGAAAACAAAAATTCAAAAAGATAAGGGATTAGATGGTAAAAGTTAACCCAATGAGTAAAAAAACCGAGATGCATCATGTGACAATTACGAAAATGAATTACATTTGTAATTTTCGTTGTGTAGATTCATAAATATCATAAATTATGGAGCTGAAACATGGTTTTAATATTTAACAGAATTGAATGGCAGAACTTTAAATATGGTTTTGGGTAATCCTATTGTTTAGGTGCATAGTACCAGTAAGAAGCTTCTTTATCAACTGGATCATCTCGTGCAAGTCTGTAATCAACCGCAAGGGATAGACCATACAGCCAGAAAACATGTACGTCTATTGGTGTGCACGAATGTTTATGCATAAACTAATTTCTATTTTGCTTAATCATTTTAACAACATTTATATGTTGTATCAATCACTTATAAATTATTTTGATGAAAAAAACGTATGGGATATATGTATGATGATGTATGTCATGCTTTTATATTCATAACATCACGCTATAAATTATAAAATGAACTATGAAATGCCAGAGGCTTTTCATAATTCTTCATTATACAAATGCTCATTGATTTAGATTGCACAAGAGCTTCCAAATAATATTTCATTGCGTACACATTTCTAGTATGATACTTCTTAGCTAATAGATTTTAATATCTCCCTCTCTCTCTTCTTGCTTTCTTTCTCCTTTCTATATTTATAAAAAGTCATATGCAATCTTTATTGTACAGACTGGAGTAATATACTGTAGGTTATACTTATGGAAACGAGTACATTGATTCAAGTAATGCACGTGCATGTGAAGTAACAAGTAAATTTTTAAATTATTTTGAGATATATAAATTTTAATAATTGAATAAATAAAATGATTGATTTATTCAGAGTCAAGATGGACATGGCATTGATGGGCATTCTGGTATGAGTGGGAATCCTGCTGCGGATTATAGCGAAGGTGCGTCTCATGTATTGGCAGTGATCCATCAAATTTTGGGTCATCATAGGGCGTTGGAAGCTCGTTGGCATGCTCGAAAAGTCAAATTGCATCAACGACTCGCGTTAAGGTACTCCTATTGCATGCCATTTCTTTTTCAATCTCGTTTGTCTATGAAGATACTAATTCCCATATATTATTCTCTATATTTTTTTTTATAAATTAATAATAATAATAGTAATTAATCGTTTACAGATTATTTCAAGAAGATGTGAAACAAGTTTTGGATTGGTTAACTAATCACGGTGAAGTTTTTATTAGAAAGAATACAGGTGTTGGTCGTAATCTTCAAAAAGCGAGAGTATATCAGAAAAGTCACGAACATTTTGAAAATGTCGCACAGGTAATAACTCAATATATATAACATTTATTATCATTTAGTATTATTTAGTATTATTTATAAATGAATGTGTGTGATAGAAATATTGAATAAATAATTTTATATTTGTTTAGAATACATATACGAATGCTACAAAATTACTTACTGCTGCACAAGAATTGGCTCATACTGGTGAATGTGCTGCTGATGAGATATATGCTGTAGCGCAAGAATTAGAGGCTCATGTTAGTAGTTTTGCGGCAAGAGTCGAACAACGTCGTCGAAGATTAGATTTAGCAGTTGTATTTTATACACATGAAAAAGAGGTACAATAGACAGTACTTTATATTGTGCTGAATTAGTAAGGTTGAAAATATAAAAAAAATGCATATTTTTAATAGTTAAGTGGTTGGGTTGACGAATTACGACAAGAATTACAACAAGACGAAGTGGCGGAAAATTTAGAAACAGCAGAAAGATTGTTGGAACAATGTGCACAACATCGAGCCTCTTGCATGGAAGCATGTGCATCGACTATTGTTCAGGGAGAAGCATTGCTTCGAGAATTGCGAGAATCTACTGATGCTCCTGATACTACTGGCTCTGTAAGTTTTATTTTTCAATTTATTATTTTTTCTTCTTTCCTTTTTTTCTATGTAATTCTTGTCATTCGAATATTTATTTAAATATATAGAAAATGTAAAATTTAATAGAGAAAATGGAAAATATTATTCGAATAAATATTTCAGATATCTGCGGTAGAAGCTGCATTAGATAGGTTAGCGAGTTTAAGACAGGAATTAGAAGATTTATGGGCTACCAGAAAATTGAGGCTAGAATTATGTTTACGACTACGTGTATTTGAAAGAGATGCTCTAGAAGCGAGTGGTCAATTAGAGATGTGGGCACAAGAATTACAAGGCCCATCTCGAGAAGGTTCCCCTGAACAATTATTGCGTGCTCATAATGATGGTGTTGCTCATATGCAGAATACTGCATTTCAAGTTTTACAACAAGGTCAAGAACTTGCTCAGGTAAAAATAGCGAATATATTTTTAAATATATATATATATATATATATATATATTTAAATCTCTGTGATATTGTGACAAAAAAATTATGACAAAATTGAAAGCAAATCTTGAAATACAGGTATTAGAACAAGCAGGAGTTTGCATAATGGCAGATGGACAACATAGTGCTGCGACTAGAGTACAAGTGCTTCTTGAATTTTTAAACGAAAGAGAAATGGATGCGGAAGATTTAGCGGAGATGAGAAGAGTTCGTTTAGAGCAAGCTTCTCAATTGGTTCAATTACAAACCGACGCTACACATGTTGCCAATTGGATTCGTAATGGAGAAGCTATGTTATTAGCTTCTTTGAGAGTTCCGGAAAATCTTCAGGATGCAGAACAGCTTCGTTTAGAACACGAACAGTTTCAAGTCGCTATAGAAAAAACACATACTTCAGCTGTTCAGGTATATAATTTATATTCATAGTAACATATTCTTTTTTTCAATTTCCAAATTAAATTATTTCAAATTATATTTTTTTTAATAATGAGAATGAAAATTTAAAAAAAAGAAATATAAATTGATTATTTTAGGTAAAACACAGAGCAGATGCATTAGTGAGTGCTAATCATTATGACCCAAAGAGTATAAGAGAAGTGGCTGAGGATGTAACTAAAAGATGGCAACAACTTGTGACATGTGCAGAGGAAAGACATAAACTAGTAACAGCTAGCATTAATTTTTACAAGACGGCAGAACAAGTTCGTTCTGTATTAGATAGCCTTGAACGTGAATATAAAAGAGACGAAGATTGGTGTGCTTCTGGTGAAAAAGCTACACAAGTTCCAACACTTGTTGGCAAACATCAAGAACAAAAAGAAGCATTTTTAAAAGCATGCACATTAGTACGGCGAACTGCGGAAACATTTCTTAAATATACGAACCGTAGTCTTCAATTTTATAGTTATCAGGCAAATAGTGCTGGTTCTGAGAATAAAGTTAAAAGTTAGTTTTATTTTTTTATTTTTATTTTTTTTTTTTTTTTTTAATTTTCTTTATGATATATTATATATTTCAAATATGGATATAAAAAATTTTCAAGAATAATTAGCTTTATATGTTTTAATATCTAATATTTTAGATATTTTGGAGGAGTTACTTAGTAAAGAGAATCGCGTACTCGAATACTGGACGCAACGTAAGAAACGATTGGATCACTGTCATCAGTATGTTCTGTTTGAGCGTAGTGCTAAACAGGCTTTAGAATGGATTAGAGAAACGGGTGAATTATATCTAGCAACACATACCAATGTTGGTAAAAATCGTATTGAAAACGAACAATTATTACGCGAACACAATGAATTTAAAGGTGCTGCGAAGGTACGTTTTATTTTTGTTTGTTTTTGTTTTCTTTTCTTTTTTCATTTTATTTTTCAAATCTAGAAACTACCATTTAAGAGATCAGAATTTTCTTTTTCATTTTTTCTTTTCTTTTCTTTTTATAATTCTTTTTTTTTTTTTCTTTTAATTTCTTTTTTTTTTTATTTATCTTTCCGTTCATTTATGTAATAGGAAACACGAGAAAGAGTAAAGCTGTTGATTCAACTTGCTGATAATTTAGTCGAGAAAGGACATGCTCATGCAGTCGCAATCAAACAATCTGTTGCTGAAGTGGATCAACGATATAAAGATTTTAGTACGCGTATGGATTGTTATAAAACACAAATTGAAGAAGATCTTGGAATTCAATCAGACGATGGTCAAAAGGATCTTTCTATCGATCGCAATTCCGATCCGTTACTTGAGGAAAAGATCAAAGGAAAAGATTTAAAAGAATTAAACGAAGAAAAAAGAAGATCAGCACGGCGAAAGGAGTATGTTTTTTTATTAAATTTTTACTTATTTAAATAATCAATTATGTATGTTTATTATTGGTTCCGATTCTTATGCATTCACAGATTTATAATGGCTGAACTGCTACAAACAGAACGAACTTACGTGAAAGATTTAGAAACTTGTATTCGATGTTTCTTGGAAGAAACACGTTGTGGAAAAGGAAATGTTCCATCTGGATTGCAAGGACGAGAATCTATAATTTTTAGTAATATGGAAGAGATTCATCAATTTCATAGTAACATATTTCTTCGTGAACTTGAAAAATACGAAACTATGCCCGAAGATGTTGGACATTGTTTTGTAACATGGGTAAACTTTATATTTTTTATTTTTTTTTGATTTTCTTAATTCAATTTGTTGATTTAACAATAAAATATATTTAATCCTCTTATAATATGGTATTTTAAAAATATTTGTAGCAAAAATTGCAACAATTTTTTTATAATATGATATTTTTATAATGATTTATCACGATTTAATAAGCTTGGATAATGCTCCATTTAGAATATTTTCATTATGTTTTTTTTAACATTTCCAATGTATTCCTCTAATTATATTACATTTTATATTACAGTTTTGATACAATACTGAAATGAATGTATACTGTAAAATAATGTATGTAATATTGTGAATGAATTAATCATATTATAGGATGAT